CTCAGATATCAATTTAAATAAAACTTCAAGCATGAGAATTTCTTTGACATAATTTCATATTCCTAAAGGTTTAAACATAACAATATCCAAATTCTTAAAATACTCATAAGTTTCATAACAATAACCTCCATACCTTTAGGACCATAATAACCAAGCTATAAATATAACATGTTAACCATATAAATAGATGTTTACATCAAACAAAACAACTTACCAAAAACTAAGTATCGTTTAAACTAAGATAGGTAAGTTAATTAGAGATGATACAGTATATACAGTAAATTTATATATAATTTACAAATGTTTGATAAAGCATATCTAATGAGGGGTTTAAAAATTTTTGAATAACAGAACTTATTAAAATAACGAAATTTATTAAAATCATGAAATTTATTAAAATAATAGAATTTATTAAAATCATGAAATTTATTGTAATAATAAAATACACGACAGCTTTTCAATATAAATTGATGATAATTATCTACAGTATTTACAAACTCGTTTACGAAAAAATCTTTTTTCAGTCGAACATCAAAATACTTTTCAGTCTATTTCGGGGACTGCTTTAATGGTCAATTAATTTGTGCCAAAGTACTTTTTTCCTACAAGTATCACATATTTTTTTTTTCTTTGTTCAATTATTGAATAGTGTTGGGGAGGTTGGAATTTATTTTTGCAATTAACGCAAGTATGACCTAGCCGATTTTATAAACGGGGGGTTTGTTTCATTTTTACCAATGATATCAATGGCGTTTCAGATGCCCCTTTGTTCTTTTTTATCACCCTTTTAACGTGCCTTTGCCATTGGAGTCTTTGTTGTTTCACGTCGCGAATTCGTTCAATGGTTTTCTGTCCCTATGATCCATGCTTGGGTTTGAATTCTTTTACGACTTTACTCATATGGAACGTGTGTTATCTTGAATCATTGCCCCATTGGCAATTGTGACTATTCGATGACAGCTTTAAACATTCGTATATTCTTTCCATTTATACGTGACGTAGTGCAAGGTTGATGGCGTAGATGTAACGGTTCTCTTGGATTGGTAGAGTTTACGATGCCAAACTCGGATCTTCCCATTTCGCAGAATTCCCTTTGGAACATTCTTTCTGGACTCAAGCGCATTTCAATCGTTCAATGCTATTCGTGTGAAATGTAAGAATGAAAGTCATTTGTTTTAGGAATGAATTCTCGTTAAGAATTCAACAATCGCCATTCGTTTCGTCTTTCGAGATTTTAGAGAGTTAAATGTTCATATGATTTTTGATCACCATTTCTTTAAAAGAAATGCGCCGAGTTGCCGATTGATTCTAGATGCCTAATGTAATTTTTGGTACTAGTACTCAGACCAACAAAAAATTTTGCGCGATCTTATGCATGCTTCTCGACGATAGATCATTTGGGATTTGTCAAATCATTTTTTTTGCGACACCTTGAAGCGTACGAAAAATACCATTCTCCAGACAGAAATGAAAGGCGAACATTGATCACAGAAATCTGGGACATACATAAATTTACAGCCGTTGACCTAATTTTGCACAACTCCCCTTGTACGCGACCTCAACAGATTTTTTGGAATTTATAAAGAGATTTGTGCAACCACATTAAAGATAAAAAAGAAAAAGAGGTTGGATGCATGTGAAGGCTGTGGTACGGAGAAAGCATTACGTTGAATGCGGTTATGCATCCTTAATTATTGTTGTTTTCGTATGCAATTTTTTTTTTCGTTATCTAGATAAGAAGTTCAAGAAATTATGGATAACGGAATTTACTCTAAAGTGTGATAGATACAGTAGATAGGACATTATTTTAATTGCAGTGTATGTATGTGTGTTAAGATGGACGATAAGTTCTCAGCAGAAGAGTCATCTTTTCGGATATTTCTTTATCTCACCCCGAGTTATTCACGTTCGTCTCGATTGTGTTTAAAGATTGGAATTATGAATGAGCTCTCTCCTTTCCGCAATTGATCGACGTCTTGTTACGTTGCACAAAAAATATTTATTTTCGTGATACGAAGCTCATTGGCACCAGAGTCAAGTCGCACGCAGAGATATGAATTAAACGCCACCGGTCAACCCGAATTTCCACGCGCAGTACGTACGCCTCTGGACTCCTAAGGACTGTATATGCTCATTACTCCTACATATTGTCTTTCGGAGTTTGAAATAGGCAGATTTCATGTATGCGTATTGCATTTTTGTTTTCTTTTGAGCTTATCGTCTTGTGTATGCGCACGTATCAGCGCGAGTATGTATCACACAGTATTACAATACCGGATTATTTGTCATCAGCAGAGTGCATGAGCGGTTCCCATATTCGTACTAGCTCATGTCAAGCATCGTATGCGTGTTCGTGGGAGCTTTGGCATTCACACCCAGTTGCCTAAGACTTATTTCATTGTGAATGATGAGGGTTCAAGGTCATACCTATGCAACAATTGGATGAAAATCAACCTTATTCCATTATTGTAATTTCAACTACGTATGTGCTACGACTGCATGCGTGAGACTTTCTTTTTCCGATCGATTAAGGCATTATGTGAACACAGGAACCTCACATTTTAAGGGGTAAACTCTATCTACTCGCATAACGTATCTATGCGTTGCCACCGCGAAATTTTGCAAATTTCACATCGTTTGCGTAGGTGCGTAGCCGTGGAAATTCATCGAAAAAAAAAAATAAAAATAAAAAGAAATTGATGGGATGAGAGTGTTCGCGATAAAGCGTGATAGTGATCTCTAAAGAATGATGGTCCCGAGAGGTACCGTGTCCTATTGGCACCTTGTTTACGTCTACATGTTATGTGCGCACCACACGATTATGGTAGGCTGGATGGATGGTAAAACCGGATGCGCCGTGTCAAAATGTCGATACGAGATTTTCAACAAATAAAATCAAACCTAAAATTTTGTTCGATATTTAATTGTGGTGACGGTTGAAAAAAAAAAAAAAAAAAAAAAAAAAAAAAAAAAAAAAACTTGTATTTAAGATTATCACCGCTATCAACAGCGCATTATTCCTATTCAAAGAAGAATTATTTATAAGGTAACCCCATACCTGCAGCATGCATATAAAAGGAATAGATAAGGGTAACATGATTTTCACCTTTTCTTCTTCCTCCATCTCGCGTATTTTTTTCTCTACATTTTGTGCCTTCGCATCTTTTATTCTCCAACAGATTCACGGGAACCACAGATTCACGGGAACCGTGCTGAAAATTAAGCACACAAAACCATCACAGACAACCTAACCCTTGTACACGAAGGATTCCTCATTTATTCACATCTCAATAATAATTTTTTTTTTTTTTTTTTGCCTGTTATTACATCTTCGTTCATCACCACCACTCATAACTCTTTCAGACATCATCATTTTTATCGTTGCGAATTCCGGAGAAAGACCGATTCATCTAAAAAAGAATTTCCCGATTTTTATAATCATAACATCTTATTTATATTTACCCTTTGGAAAAAAGTATGGTAACTTGCTTGAAGGCAAAGGATTATTCTCGTTTAACCCGCAGCACTATTCTTATCACCACCATTATTATTGTCTCGCAACAAAATCCACAAACATAATCATCAACAAAAGGACGGCGCTGACAGGTCCTGACACCTAGTGCGCAGCATTCGCGATTTTTAATACGTGAGAGAGTCAATTCTCCAAGTTCACATAAAGGAAACACGACACCGCACTGGGATATCACACACGAGTATCATACCATCTATTTGATACGATAATTGCAATTGTGACGCTGGTCACCGTGTCAAGCGCGATACCGCATCATCATATCCCCCCCCTCAAATAGTATACCCAGAACAAAATAAGAATGGAAATCTCACAAAGAATGTACTTTCTAAACGATCAATTTGCCGCATCTTCCCTCATTCCGTGCCAAATGCGTCAAAAACTTTATGATCTCTCTTTGAATTTGCGCGCGCACGTTTTCGACAAGAACATCGTGAAGATCCTGGAAGAAGAAGGTAAAGCAGCTTTCACCATGTGATCGATCACATTTGTCCGTTTTATTATTGCGTTTTGCGTGTTATAAAGTGATGATTCCGTCTAAACGTGTGATTAATCACTTGCGATCAAATGATATCTAGTCGAAAGAATGTTTATGAGTGTCGACAAACTTGAGAAGGTTATGCATAAGCTTGACACCCAAATTGCGGAGCTTGATGACAACGATCTTCTGACCACCGCTGTATCCCTTATGGATGCGGATTACTTGGACGAGATTTATGAGGTTGAAGACGCGTCAAACTGCAGTGTCAACTCGACGAATTTCGATCCCCGTCGTAATATGACGACCTACTGTTTCGGGGACGACATCTACTATGAGGATGGCGACTCCGTACGTGACGTGATGGAAGATGAATTGGACGTCATCTACCAAAAGGTAGTATTTTTTATCAAGGAAATGGAGGATAATATGGAAAGGTTGGAGAGGATCATGAGGAAATTTATGATTTCGACACCTCAACAACCCAATCAAACCTAATTCTATGCACCTTCAGATGGGGTACGCGATGTGAAAACACAATTCATTCTAAGGAACATGGTCAACTAAACAAACCCCCAATAAGCCCGGCATGCCAATAAAAAAAATTTTTCAATTGCATCTTGCATCTTATTATGTATATATTAGTACTATTAGTTCTTACTGTCTTATTTTATTCTACTTATTATTTTATTTTGTTACATGAAAACAAAAAAGAAAAAAAAATCAAAAGTCCTTCCTTTCATTCGCGAACGATCCGTTGTGCTTATTTACTTTGTAAATGATGTTTTTTGTACACGATCGACGACCGACATGCATAAATGACATATGGTTACAATAAGTAATAAATTGTTACACGACTTCTTTTGTTTTTATTTAATACTTTATTAGTCTAATGAATTGTAAAGAATTATTTATATTGTTAAATTAATTGATACTGTATACTTGAATGGTCTTAGGATACAATAATGATCTTTGATTGATTTAAAAATATAGACTTTGGGATTCAAATTAGTTTGAACTAAACCCGTTTTTATGATAGATGAATCAATAAATCAAGTTACTAATAGATTAATTATTATTATTATTATTATTATTATTATTATTATTATTATTAAAAATCAATTGTTTCTTTTTTTATATAATGGAGAAACCTTTAACTTTTCGTGTACGTAGTCCATAAAACGTCTTACCGTGAGAATCTTTGCCGAAACTTGGATTAATTACTGGTGGGAACTGTCACAAGCTCGTGATATACAAAGCATGTTTGTGTGCATGACACCTAATTTTCGCATGTACACACGCACAACCGCTCGACGCCATAATAAGACATGGATACCTTGATAAAAAGAGAATCATTTAAATTTACAAAATTACCCTTGTGTGATGATAAGCTGCCAAATTTCCTTGATAAAATTGCAAAAGAGGAAATATTGAAATAAAAACACCGAGTTGATCTTTACCTAATTTTTCAATATTCGGCAAGCCACGAAAATCCGGGCATGTTAACTGGTGCTTAGAAATTTGGTAGATGCGTCGAACGTTATCGAAAATCAGTAAAGGAGAATGATGTAAGTGACATGAGTGTTTGCGATTGCTATCTCAATAGGATCGGAATTGGAGTCGATTTGAGGTGTGTAATGTTAAACATTTTTACGTGAAAGGAATTGGAAATTAAAAAGGGGTGAGTATAGGATGCTCAAGTGTTATCGAAAATCAAATCAGTTTAAATGGGTGATGCGAAATGATGATGAACAACACAAGGCATTCGTGAATTGAAAGAGATGGTTTTTGTGAACGAAATATTATCCTTGTGCCTTTTACCGAAACAGGATTGAGAACCCATTGGAATTAAGAGCAAACTGGTTTTTTCCGAAATAATATATTTTTTTTTCCTAATAAATCTATTATCGATTAAAAAATAAATTTAAATCAGACGACTAAAATTCTTTGCAGCTACAAATAAATAATCTTGGATTCCGTGCTCAAACAACTTCACGAATCAGAAAATTGACACGGGAAATTCAAAGAGATAATTATGAATGATTGTGCGTTCATATTTTACAATCAATACTTCTTTCGTACTAACGTTACTGTAAAAGCATTGCTGTGATATCGGCGTTCATACGATGCTACGGTAGTATACCAGGAGACAATAGTATATCAGGAGGCAATAGTTCAGGCGATTATATTCTTGTTATTGACTGTGCACTAAATGGATCCTTGCAATGAAAATTCTTTATATCGTGGCACAAAGAAATTAAATTTACTACTTATTAATTTGTTTGTTTCTTTTTTGTTCCAAATTAATGAATTCGGTTTTTTCAATGACCAATCGACGTTGCGATGGACGTGATAGGAAGTTTGATCGTCGGATTGCGTATTATTGGATATTATACTGTATAATATACTGTAATCTATTAATTTATTTTTTTGAAAAAATATTATTAATGATTAACTTTAAAAAATCACAAAACATTGAATATAAGATTTTATTTAAATATCAATTATTAATATCTATTAATTATTATTATTTTTTTTTAATACTGGGTTTACTAAAATAGTAAGAAAAAAAATAAATTTAAATCTATACTTTTGAATTCCTTATCTAATAAAATAATCAATAGAAAAAGTTCAACAAGAACTTCTTCACCTTGTGATTAAGTCATCTTCTATATGACAAAAGAACTTATGTAGAAACATATTAATACAAAAATAAATTTTAAATATGTAAAAGAATATATTAAAAATTAACTCAAACTGATCTTTCAAAAATATATATTAAAATTGAGTTTATTTTGATTCATTATATTTATTACTTTTCTATTTTATTCAATTATCAAAATTATAAGTACAAATAAAAATTATATATACTGTATAAGCTTAAATAGAAATAAAAAATTTATATTATAAAAGAAACAATAAAAAAATTAATTTAATTATAGATAACTTGAATATATACTACTATTAACATTTTGATATCATATATTGATTCCTTTTCAAAAATTTTACTATCTAGAATATGACATTTGTTTTTTTGCTACTTTCAATACTTCTATATTATAATTCTCATTTATTAATTTACATCATATTCTTTTATATTTTATTCAATATGAAATTTTTTATTAATATTTTTCTAGGTAATATTAAATAAAGATTGCAAAAAAGACTCTAGAATATAAAAAAAATAATTAAAAAAAAGTTTTAAAACTTATTATTCAATAATTTATTTTTTTTTTTTACTATTGCAATAATTTTATTTTTAAAAAAAAATCTTGATATTATATATATGTGTTTTATTAAACTTGTTAAATATTATATTGTTTTTTTCATAATATTACTATCAATAAAAATTGAATTATTGTCTAATAATTTAGTATAATATATTCTTCAAATATTCAAGTCTTAATATTTATATTAATAAATAATAGATATAATATTTTTAAGATATTGTAAAAAATAAAAATATATATTTTTGCTTCTTTATTTAATTAATAATATAAGAATTAATGGTGTTCTTATTTATTTATATCTAATAAATAGTGACTTATAATAAATTTCAAGTTTTTATAAATCTGAAAAAATGCATTAAAATATATAAAATAATTAATAAAAACTTGGTTATATTTTTTTATTAATATATTTTATATTTAATAATAGTATAATTAACTTTATATTATTTAAAATAAATTTGTAAATGAAAAAAAAAAAACTTTTTCTGCTGATCCGCATTTTTTCAGAAAATTTCCTTTTTTGATAATTTTTTGAAAAAAGAGAAACCAGTCCAAAAAACAAGAGAAAACCAACATCAAAGACTATCTACTTACAAGAAACATTATAGAACCAACTAGTTACAGTACAGGAATAGTTAAGTATCTAAAGACTTCTAACCTTTCTATACATAATTTTTCTTTTTTAAGAAGAACAAACAAAGATAAAAACCGAATCATAATAAGCTCTTAAAAGCCCAACATTAACCTCACAAAGCTCTCAGCCAGGCCAGTGCAGGTTAATACCTTTCTAGACACCAAGAGGAACCTTACAAGTAATAATTTAGACCAATAAATCAGTCTAAACTCAAATACCCATAAAATTCAGAGGGATATCCAAGCTTCATCAACTATATAGTAAAAAGGCACACACATTACAACAAATAAAATTTTAACAAACACAACATCATGCGAACACGTACATGTATATTCTTTCAAGAAAATAAGATCAAAAAGACATGTTCATATAAACAATGTTTACAGATCATCTACGTATTTATATAAACAGATCAACAACACTCATATTTCTATGTGTCCATATAAATAACATTTACAGATTATCTACATATTTATAGTAAACAGATCAATAATATCCATATTTTCACATATTTATAACAAGCTGATCTACAATAACAACATAACACCCTTATTACAACAAATACGTAAAACAGAATTTAAATTTATAACACAACAACTTTAAGGTTTTTCCATATTACCAAATTAGCAACAATGGATAAACAAACCTTCACCACGTGTTAGAAACAACAAAATACAAATTAAACCTATTAATCAGTGACACGTGATAAGCACAACAATGTCAACAACATGAAGATTACTATAAATCATAAAGAAACGAGAAATTTATATCCTAGAAACCCTGATCAACTTATCTAACAAATACGATTAAGAGAAAAAACTATGGACAACACAAACAATCCTCAATACAATCTCTATACAAGAAGACAACCCTAACCTAGCCCCTAACCCTACAAGATGCTCAATTCTAGATAGCATTATAGCTAAAATTCTTAACATTGATCGTACTACTTTCATTAAAGCTACAATTCTAAGACAACATATTCTATACTTATGGGCTCAAGGACAAGGAAAAGAGGATGACTTGCTGGCCCTCTTCTTGGAAGACAAGTATATGGAACT